CTCCCCTCCCCTCCCCTCCCCCCCCAATACCCCCCCCCCGCCAGGTAATCGAGTACTGCGACCTGGGTAATTTATCCAACGCGCTGAAGAACAACATTTTCATGATCCCCAACCCGGTCATTGCGGCGGCGGCGGGGGCGGGAGATGGCGCCGCGGCGGCGGAGCTGGCGGAGAGGGCTCGACAGCAGCCCATGAAGGCAAGTGCAGGCCCACCAAGAGGGGGTGGTTGGGTGGGTGGTTGGGTGGGAAGAAGAGGGAGAGTAAATAAATGCAAAAGAAGGAAACTGCTGTCGACAAGTGACACCGCCCTCACTCCCCTTGTATACACACCCTTCCGCCCCTCCCTCCTCCCGCCTCCCGCCTCCCCCTTTGCCTTCCTCTTTCCCCAGGTGAACATGCGCACATTGCTGCTGACGCTGATCGAGATCGCCTCCGCGTGCGGCTACCTCCACCGCATGGGGGTGGTCCACTGCGACATCAAGCCCGCCAATGTGCTGCTCAAGAGCTCCAACATCGACTTCCGGGGCTTCACTGCCAAGGTCTCCGACTTTGGACTGAGCAGGTGGGGGTGGGGGTGAGGATGGGGAGAGAGGGGGGAGGGGAATATGTGTGTGTGTCTGTGTGTGTCTGTCTGTGTGTGTCTGTCTGTGTGTGTCTGTCTGTGTGTGTCTGTGTGTGTCTGTCTGTGTGTGTGTGTGTGTGTGTGGAGGGAGGGTGGAGAGGGACGGAGGGGGTTGTGGAAAGGGGGGGGCGTCATTCAGTCACCCGGCTGGCGCGGTGCGGTGCGGTGCGGTGCTGAGGGAGACCTGTTGGCGGCCCGGCGGGTAACATGGGCCGGGTCCGTGTGGGACATGAGCTCATGGCCCCCCGCATCCCGGGTCTCGTACGGCAGTTGTTGTTGGTGTGTGTTGGACGTATGTATGTGCGGAAAGAAACGGTAGAATTACATCTTTTTCGCTTTTGCAACTTATCATATTATATCGTTATAATGCAGTTCCGCCACCCAACGACCCCACCCCCACCCCCACCCGTCCTGACGGCCTCAGGGTCGAGGACGACGACACGTGCGCTTCCTTCCCCTTCAACAGCTGCGGTACGGCAGCTTACGTGGCCCCCGAGGCCCTCATCTGCAATAAGAAGGTCAACAGCTCCGTGGATGTGTACGGTAAGAGGGGGTGTCTGTATGTCTGTATGTTCGGGGTGTGTGTGTGTGTATGAGAGCGTGTATGTGTGCAGGTGTGTGTGCTGTTCCGGGCTGTATCGTCGTCGCACCACAGTTTTGGGATCTAGGAAACTAGTGGTACGAGAAATGACATTTGTTAACAGCTGTCTTCGGTGTATTTTCTGTATCGAAGTGGTGTCCGGAGAGGTGTCACATCGTCCAGGATCGCACACCACCCGGCGCTAGAGGGCGACGCCGGGCTCCCGTCCCTGGCAGCAGCTTCAATCGTGTGTGTGTGGTTCGTCTTTCTCCCCTTTCCCCTCCCTCCTCCAGAACGGTGGTGGTGGTGGTGGTGGGGTAAAGCGGGGGGGGGGTTAAGATGGACCACAGATAGAGTAAGGCAGATGCCGGGTAGGGTGGAGGTAGTGGTGGAGGGGAAAGAGCCCTTCATCCCTCCCGGGGGTCGGCCGGGCTGGGCGGTATGTTTCCGAACCCCTGGGCCCCATCGGTTTCACCCTTCTTTTTTTCTTCCCCCTCACCCTGCTCTTTTTGCATGTTGCATGTTGCATATGAGTTGATGATTCCTCGCCTCCCTTTCTCCCGCCCCCAATGGCGAAATATAACGGTCACAACGGTCACGACGTGCAGCGTTCGGTATTCTCATGTGGGAGATGTACACGGGGCAACGACCGTACGGCAACATGAAGCAACAGCAGCTGGTGGAGGAGGTGCGCAGCCGGAGGGGGCCGGGCGGGGGGAGTGCGGGCTAAGAGAGGGAGTGTGTGTATTTGTGTTTTCGCTCCATCGTGTGTTTGCGCGTACAGGTCTGTATGTATGTATGTACAAATGTCATGGCTTGTCGCAAATAATTATTTGATTACTTATATGGGAAAATTCCAATGTTGAACATTTCAAAAACTTCAGGACACACCCTCCCTTTTCCCCCCTCCCCCCCCTCCCCCCCCTCCCCCCCCTCCCCCCCTCCCCCTCGTCCTGCTGCAGGTGGTGATGCGGGGTCTGCGGCCCAAGTTCCCCGGTACGGCACCCGCGGGCTACGTGGTACTGGCGCAGTCCGCGTGGAGCGGCTCCCCGCAGGCGCGACCCTCCTTTGACGAGATCCTCACCCACCTCAACGCCATGCTGCAGCAGGTGCGTGTGGGTAGGGGTGTGGGTACGGGTGTGGGTACGGGTGTGGTGTACTGAGTGATCTGAGCCTTCCCCCCTCTTTCACCTCCCGCCGCCACGTTTGTGGTTCGTCTAGCCCCCCCTTCACCTCACCTCGGGGCCCCCCCCCACAAAACACACACACCTCCCCCAACACAGGTGGATGACCGGGAAATGGATTCCATGGCGGGTGGATCCTTTGGATCCATGGAGAAATTCGAATACATGCAGCAACAGATGCAACAACAGCAGCAGATGCAGCAGCAGCAGCAGGGCGGTATGCTGACGCCAGGAAGTGTTGGCGGCGGCGGCGCCATGGACCGCCGACCCTCCCAGGTCAGCCGCCGCGGCGTCCCGGGGGGCCCTATGGGAGCCGTACCGCAGGTCCCCTCTCCCATGGGACATGGGGCCAGTCCCCGTACGACCGGGGGCGGTATGCAAGGGGGTGCCGTACCGTCGGTGTCGGCCGTATCATCGACGTCAGCGGGCGCTGCAACGCTGCAGGCTGCAGCGCAGGGCGGGGGTGGGGGTGGGGGTGGGGGTGGACTTGGCGGAGCTCCCGCAGGCGGTGGAGGTGGATCGATTGTGGGACAGGGGCCGCTGGTGGGCGGGCCGCCGTTGCAGCAGCCGCAGCCGCAACAGCCGTCGTTGCAGCCGCCGCAGCCGCCGCAGGGTAGTCCGCAGTCGCCCATGCAGCAGCAGGCTCGCATGCAGCCGCAGCAGCCGCAGCAGGGTGGGGGGGCCGGCAGCGCGCAGATGTACTCGTCCGCGTGAGCAAAAGTGCTGAAGGGGTGGTGACTGGGAGTGAGGGCGGAGAGCGGGGGAGTGCCATGGGGAGCGGAGTGTGTGGTCCGACAGGAAGAGAGGTGAGGGCGAGAGAGTGAAAGAGGAGGCTGCCGAGGAGGAGGGGAAGGGGGAGGGGTCGAGGGCCTCATACGGGCGAGGGGATCGTGCCCTCATCTCGGCCTTTTCACCAGCGGGGGTTGAGGGGGCTGGCAGAGCGGGCTGCGCATTGAAGAGCGCTTATGGGGTTGTGGCGGGGGAGGTGGATGGAGGACCGATGTGGGGTGTGTTTGTCTGTCCGTATGTCAGTCCCCAGGGGGCTGGGAACCCCCCACCCCGGTTGGGGGAGATCCGCAGTGGCAGGAGAGATGCGAGAACGGTTTCCACGATTGCGCGAGAGGTTTACGAGGGCTGGGGTGGGGGCAGGTTTGTGGAGGGTGTTGCTGACTTCGTCTTTATGTGTGTAAGGGGTGGGGAAACCCGGGTAGTGCGGGTTTTCCATCTCCTCTTCATGTTGATCCTCCTGCTGCTGCTGTTTGCTGTTTGTGCGGATGAATGAGAAGTTGTTGCGGGGCCCCAAAAGATGAAGAGTGAGAGAGAGAGAGAACGGGCTGATGATGAGGGGGGTTATGGGGGTCCGGGAATGGATAAACGGATGGGTGGATGGCAGCATTGGGGGTCTCCGTCGAACCTCCGTGGCGGTGCTGGAAACTAATCAACACTCGAGGTCTATGCGTGCGATAGCGGTAACGGACGATTTGTGTTTCGGCAGGTCGGGGTTGAGGGGGTGGACACGGCAAACCACCTCCCCCGGTGGTTTGCGGTTGTGTGGCTATGGGGCCAGGCGCCGCGATGTGCGATCCGCCTCTTCCAATGATGCAGGTGGTGATGGTGATGATCTGTGTATTGACATATCATTGAGGTGGTGGTGGTGTAGAGAAGGGCGATGGGGGCCGCGAATGCGGTCTGACGCCGTAACGGGTCTGACGCCGAACGAAGAGCGGAGGGGCGGGAGGGTTAAGATTCATGTCGGGACTGTCGGGGCGTTTTGCGGACAGCGGAAATGGCTCGCGAGCTGTTGACGTTGGTGATGTGAGGAGTGTCCTCCCGTGGGGGGGTGTCGTGCTAGAGGGGGGGTGAAAGAAGGGGAAGTGCTAGGGGCTGGAGTATGAATAAGTTCTTATTGCGGAGGTGAACCTCCACCCGTCCGCCCCGCCTTCCTGCCTGGCTCCTAAAGAACCCTGCTTGTGTGTGCACAAGCAAAGACACACACGCTAAAACATACATACATACATAAATACGTGCACGCGTGCAGCTGCTTCTGAACACTGTGGTGCACGCGGGTGAACCAGCAAAACCCTTCGAGGTCGCGGACGTGACAGCATGTTTTGTCTACGGCGCTCCGTCTGTTTAAATGCCCACATATGTGTGTGTGTGTGTTTTGTGTGTGTCCCGTGTCTCCGCGTCCCCCTACCCTTACCGGCAGTGAGCTGGTTGCCAAATGGGGGGTGGGAGTGTGTTTGCAGGAGACGGTGCGACTATGGTGTTTAGTGTATGCGCGGGTCGGTGCGTGCGGTTAAGGTGGGGGGTTCCCCCAGAAGGGCTTCGGAGACGAGACCGGCTTGCAGGCCTAAAGAGGGGGGAGAATAAGGGGAGAGAACGAGCTGGCGAGGGGGGAAGCAATTTCCCGGTTTTGCAGCTTGCAGTAGATTGTGGTCGCGGTGGTGGGGAGTTACTCGCGAAGCGGAAGAGGAAGCGGAGAGGGGGAGGTGTGGGTAGCCGGGTTGGGAGAGGGTGGTAAACCGCATATTCCCCTTTTGGTGCTGGCGAACCGGGGGCCGAATACACAAGCACGGTGGAAACTGGTTGGAGGGTTGGAGGGGGAGAGTTTTCCGCTCCCACTCAGAACACTTTGCGATGGAGGTCTGTTGAATTATGATTTACATCATAAGATTGAAACCTAGCACATATGGCCACCTGCGGTGATGCGACGAAGGGGGGCGGGATAGGGAGGAGGGAAGGTGGTGGCGGAAGCTGTCTGCGACTTGCCCTGTCTGGGTGGTGATGCAGAGGGTATGTGGAGCGGGTTGTTGTGTCGCGGCACGCGGGAAGAGGTCCTCCGCACGGCGCGTTGTGAAGCGGTGTTGGCGGTGGGGCGGTCTGGTCGGAGGCGTTTGTGTGCGAACCACGGAGAAGCTGGTGCTGGGTACGGCGACGGCAGCATGATGCGGTTGGTGGTGGCGGCAATAGCCAGCGAGGCGCAGCAGCAGCAATAGCAGCAGCAGCCTTTGGCCGGCATGCTTTACCTGTATGTCGGTCTCTATGACCGGGGTATGCGTGCGTGTGTGTGTGCACGCGCTCGTTATAATACCAGCAAGGCTGAGCTTACGACAGTGACATCTATAGACTGGTGCGACTGTTTTATTAGAAGCAGTTAGTTAGTACGACAGTCCGTTTGCGTTGATGTCATTACGTTAAGAAGCATCATTGCTTTGTTTGTTAAGGGGGGCACGGGTGGCGCTGACGATATTATGGTCGTATAATGGCGCGTGGTGTGTGTGACGACGACGTGTCGAGGTGTGGTGATGTGCTGCACGATGTGGAGCGCGGTCATGATGGTGTGTACACATGGTGCAGCATCATGAGTGCTGGAATGGAACACAACTTCATGATGACGACGACGGACGGATGGTGATGATGAGTTCACGTTCTGTTCTAGCTTGCACTGCTGTTGGTGCTGTTAATAATACGGCTACTGCTGCTGCGTTATTGCCAACTTGCCATTGGGGTTGAGGTCGCCCGTCCCCACGTGTTTGTTCTTCTGAAGGCAGCGGGCTGTCACCGTCCCCGTCCATTGTGGCGTTACTATTATTCCGGTGTGTGTGGAGGTGTTGTATTGCTGCTCCTCCGCATCCGCTTGGGAACCATCCGCATACCTCTGTGACGGTGGCGACTCTGCAGCTACAAGGAGGGGGTGTTCCTAAAACGCTGCCGGCTATCGGGTTATCGGTGCGGTGGTGGTGGTGATGGTGACGAGGTGGGTGTGGCTGGGTTGTCGTGTCGCTGCGGCTGCTGCGGCTGTGCTTTGGCAGTGCTGTTGTGAAGACGACGTCCAGCCGTACGGTACGTCTCGTTCGACTATTTGCAGAGTGCCGCCGCTGCGGGTGGTGTTGAGTTACGCGTGTGCCGTTTGGAAACACCAGCTACAAAAGGAAAACGTCGCTAACATGAACAACAACAACAACAGCATCAATAACAACAATAACAACAATAACAGCTACAGCACCGATAAAGAAGGGAGTGTGTTCTTATGCATGTGTGTGTGCGCGGTTGTTCTTGTTGTTGGCGGTGTTTGCCGTTATCGCTGTTGCGCGTGCGAACAGCATCATGGCCCCTAGTCAGCGGAAGGAAAGGGGTCTCGAGGCGGATGGGTTGGGCGTTGGTTGGTTGGGCCCCGTTTTGGGGCCGGAAGCAGTTTATGAGCGATGCACGGTGCGAAGGGGTTGCCCGTTCCTGGAGCTGAATGAGCAGTCGTGCATCCTTCGCGCCCTGCTCAGCTGCTCAGCCCAGTTCCGGCCTGTGTGAGCATGGCGCCGCTGGCACCGGTAGGGGGGGGGGGCTACGGAAAGGGCTCGGTTTAATGGAAGTGACACGGGAGGTTGAGGGACCCAATGCTGTGGAGCGAAGAAGCCCCCCATTGCGTGTTCACTCCCGGGGTCAAACATCCCTGAACACATCAGCAGCGATGCTGATATCTCTTTGATGTGTGTGCACAGTATTAACATGCACACACACACACACACCGCATTGCCCGTCCAGATCCTTTATTGGGAATGCCATCCTTTGCTGCGCTACGCGGACCGGCTGTCCTGGAGGCACAGCCCCCTTCCCTAATTATGGTTAACCATCCGTTTGTACGAAGCATGACGTGTACAGAACCATTTTCGCTCTGCATTCGGCATTTGCCTGCGTGGCGAGGGGAGGTCTTATTTACGGAACTGTAAGGAAGGTGGTGCTCGAGCCGCGCCAAGGATATGCTGTGTTCTAGTTGGCGGGGTCTGGTCGGGTGCCCGGCCCGGCCCTCCCCTCCTCTGCGGCCTTCGTTCCAAGTGAATACGGCGAGAGAGATGGTTGTTGTGTGAATACGTGGGGATTGTTTCGCGCAACCAGCGCTCAACGCCGTGGTGAAGTCCTTGGCACGCATATCCCACACGGCAGTGAATGTAATTGAACACGCCCCGTACGGTGGCGTGTTTCAGAAATCGGCATATGCCGCGTACGTCGCGCCAGTCGGAGTCCGAGTAGTAGCCGGCGTTTAACCGCCATACTTGCTCTGTCTGTTCATTTCTCATCTCTCTGCCGCGCCAACATTCCCGCGTGCGTTTCTATGCGGGGAGGTTGAGAGGTTGGACAGGAGGCTGGGCGAGAGATACAGCCCCATCGCCGCCGCTTTTGTGGTGGCCATGTGAGCTCTATTGTGTTGGGAATGGAGAAGAATGGGACAGATCGAGGGGGACCTACCCTCTCGGAGAGTATACCTGCGGGAGCTGCGTTGCCTTCTGTCGTAAGACATTTTGTATATTTCTGCAAAACCTCCTCGCGAGGGCGAGGAGCCGAGCCAGCTTAGACGGGGTGAGTTGGACATCTTTAACCCCAACTCCTGCTGTTGGCGAAATGTTGTTTCTTGTTGGGCGGGACTATCCTGTCAAGATGTATGGTCCCGTAGGCAAGAGGCGCGGAGACAAATAAATTGAGGTGCTGCCGTTATCATGAGTGCCGCCGCCGCTCCACGCTTTCATGGGCGAGCCGAGACGGGAAAGATGTTTTGCATTTTGCTGCTGCTCCGCACAGATAAAATCGGGGCGTGACTGGTGGAGGCTGAGGAGCCTTTTCCTCGGAGCAGCAGCGGAGCCTGGTGACGGTGCAGCGCTCCGGCAGCCACACGTAATTTTGTAGTATGTATATATGCGTGCAGCTGGGCTTCGGGCTGTACGGCAGGAGCGTCGCCAGGGTAACCTCCCAGTGCCCCGCGCGGCCTGCTGGCGCCTATGTATTGCAATGTATGGATGTGGGTTTTGCCCGCACGAGGGGATCCTGGCGCTCTCCAAGTGGTGCACGGTCCTGCGTGTGGTTCCCCGGTGTGTATATGTATGTATGTATGTGCGTGTATGTCCTCTGTGTCGTTGCATTGGGTTGATGACGCAAGTGGCGCCTGTTCGCGATGTCGGCCGCAGTGAAGCAGCGGTGCTGTTGTTGGGGGGGGGGGGCTTGAAAGAGCTTCTTCGAGTAACCTGCATGATGATGATGATGATGATGATGCCGTTGAGCTTTTTACTCGTACCGCGCGAAGCCTCCCGCAGGCTTTTGGGGGTTGTTGACGGGCTGCCGTTCCGCAAGGATAGAATTTCTGCAAGGGTCTTCTTCGGGGCATGGTCCTTCATTTCATTAGTCTGCTGCCGCGCGATCATGTGATGGCCATATGTGCGGTTTTTATTGCCAGCACGGTGATGGCGGAGGGGGTGAAGGGAAGGGGGAAATTATGGCCAGGTGCTGGTTGGATCAAGCGAGGAAGGCTTAGCGTGCAGTAAACATCTCCTAGGGTGTCCGTCCGGGGTGTGGCTCGTAGCTCGACGCTGCTCCGTGACGCAAAAATTTGGATCAATCGGGGCTTTATTTCACTAATATCCCTCTCCCTTTGGAAAGGCTGTAACCTCGATCCAAGGACAAGCATACATCACAGTACAGCACACAACACAGAGTCACGGACCGAACCCATTTGCCCATGGCCACGCTGCCAGGCACAGTGCTCTGAGGACAAAAACCTCTGCCACATGTACGGCGGGCCTGACAGTAAAGCACCTCTGCTGGTATCCTCCAGTGCAAAGAGGGAAAAGGAAGCATTACCGACATTGGTGAAATGTTACACAAGTGCCTCAACACCACTCGGGAGTGCAGCTGGCTGCCATGTGCTGCTGCACATCCTCACCCATGACCACCTTCACAGAGGAGAGCATGTGTGATGTGTGATATGTGAGAGCACCTGGTGGGCCTGGAAAACCGCCTGACGCTGCCACGGACTAGCCCCGCGAAGCGAGGCTGACCATTAGCGCTATAAGCTTCTGGGCCTTCTGCAGTTACTGCGCCCTCTCGCAGCAATAGCACTGGTGCACTCTCCACAGCACATACGGATACTACCCCGTAAAGGGAGGAGGGGCAACACAGCCCGGATAGCAAGGCACGGCGCACGGCGGCAAACGCGCCTGTAGGCCATCCCCTCACGGGAAGCAGTCCGCTCCGGAGCCTAGTCCTGTCCCGTAATGCTGGGGCACGAGACAAACTTCAGCACGACGAAGCGGTCAGCCGCTGGCGTCTCGGAGATCCTGTTTGGTTCGGAGAAGAAAGCACGCGGGGAGGGGTGCAGGGCGGAAGACTGGTGATAAGATGGCACCAGAAGGCAGACTTCAGAGCTCGAGGGGAGGGGGGAGATGCCGGAGAGCAAGACACACCTCATTCTTGCGATTGAAGGTTGCGAGGAAAGACAGCCACTAAGCGGCATCGATAGAACTGATCATCGATAGGCATCGACCACCTGGCTTTGATTTGCCTTCTCAATACAGATGAAGAAGGCCAAATCAACTCCTTTGATGCCCTCACCCACCCACCCAGGTATATTCTACCACATTCACGCTCCCCCACCCCCTCAACGCTACCCCCTTACCGAGATGAGCTGCTGCACATCCACCCCCTCCGCTGCCAGCCAGAACAGCAAGGTCAGGACAGCGGAGTTCCAGGCGCCGTGGATGACAATGGGCGTCAGCAGGTTGCGTGACCGCACGTACGACCAGCCGAGCAGCAGGCCCAGCGCGCACAGCACGGGCAGGTCGCGTGCGGACAGGTGAGCCAGGCCAAATGACACGGAGGATGCGGCCACAGCCGCCCATGTGGGCATAAAGCGGGTCAGGGAGGTGAGGAGGAAGCCCCGGAACACTGTCTCCTGTAGCAATGGGCGGTGTGGGGGCAGGTTGAGGTTGAGGTTGAGGTTGGCATCATCGGGTAGCGCAGTGGCAATGGAAAAGAGGCAACACCGTATAGCCGTGGCAAAAGCATAATCGTGGACGGCCCAAGATGATGAGCGGTTATGGACGTGTACATGTAAAAGGGAATGAGAAGGGGTATGAAGGTTATGGGTGTGAAGGCGGCGGGTAGGTGCAAGAACTTGTGTGCCGGACCTGGGCGACAGCAGATCGTTGATCCGGGAAGAATCTTTCCCTGTCCCGGAACCTCTTTAATCTCTCCGCTCATCCTATTCCATGTCCTCCTCTTTCCTACCCGCCTCGTCCCTCTTCCCCCTCCCCGCCCCCACATTCCGCCACCCCGCGGTTTCCTGCTAGCCCGTCTCCAGCCTGGAGCTCTCTCCCCCCACCTCACCTCCAGCAGCGGCGCCATGACTCCCGTAACCGCCAGCAGCGACAGGTAGGTAGGTAGGTCCAGGTCAATCATGCCCGCCACTCCATCCACTGTGCCCTGACCCCCCACGGCCTGCTCGTACCCCACCACTGACAGCAACGCCGCGACGCTGCCCACTACCGCGGGGGACGCGACGACACCCAACAGCGCCCAGAAGCCCCACCCGCGTGGCCGAGAAAAGGGCCGCCGGGGGTCATACACGAAGAAGTCCAACCCATTTGCGGGCGAAAGCGGAGGAGGTCGAGAAGAAGACGATGGCGAGAGAGAGGAGGAGGAGGAGGAGGCTGCGGCTTCCGTGATGGGTCCCACGGTGATCAGGCGAACGAGGGCGAGGCTGACGACGGTCTCCACCGCCTGGCACACGAGCGTGAAGGTTGCCTTGTCCTGGGAAAGGGGGGAGCACCAGTGGCGGCAGGGAAGGGCCCACCAACGGGCCGGTACAGTAGAGGTTGGCGTTGGGTCGGGTGAAGATACGGGAGGTTAGTGCGCCTGAGGAGGGTACTGAGGAGGGTACAAGTGGCGTGCGAAGGCCTCCAAGAGGGGCTGGCCTAGGAAAGGGCCAAGGAAGAGGCCGGCAGGGCGAAGAAAGGAAACTTTGTTCCACGTTGGCAGGATGCGGAAGGGATGCGGACATGGGAAGGGAGCCCAACCCAGGAGCTAAAAGCAAGGCGGCTCACAATACCAGTAAACCAACACGGGAAGGGGTCCAGTTTTGAAAGCATATGTACAGCTAGGTGCGCTTATTGGCGCACGCGTTTTTTGTACCACGTTCATTCGAACACACATGCGATTGCAACGAACTGCCAGTTATTACCACTTACTCGTGCAAAAAGATACGAGAAGGTGCGGGAAGGATCTGCAGTGCCTATTATGCAAGGTGGCGCGGACTCACTACAACCCAATTCAGTCACAGCTGCCCACCGTCTTCCCCCTCCTTTGTGACGATCCAATGATCCTTACGGGGCCGGTCCGCCAATATCAGCGCCCAGATTCCCTGCCCGGTCACATGCCGCACCTCAGGTGATAGGTCGTAGAGGGAGACACCCGCCATGCGGTATAGCTGCGGCACCAAGACAAAGCCCACGCCGATGAAGCTGCCAAACCACAACGCAAGGCCGCCCGCAACTCGGCCAGGTCCCCATGGCACCTGCCAGCTGCCCGTGTAGCGAGAAGCGTTGAAAACACCCCAAGTGGACTCCTCACCCTCATCTTCCCCGCCGGCATTGCCGTTGGGTGTCCGCGAGGAATGGGATGAGGACGACGGCGAAGGCTGAAGAAGCTTCGAGCCTGTTTTGCCCCATAATTTTGCAGGCTGCCTAGATGATGGTCGAGAATCCGGCTCCGCGTTCAGTTTAGGGCTTGATGCAAGGCAAGATAGTGACGCCTTCCGTGGCAAGTTAACCAAGCTCTGCAGCGGCCATTCTACCGAAATACGGTCAGATCTACGAACTGCTGTCCAGCCAACGGGTGGTCTATGTTCACGAAGACCATACGTACGCTTGGCTACTGCCGCCATTTATAACACGCTGGTTGTTAGGTAGTAAATAATGGTTTGCTGCAGTGATTCAGTCACGTCTCAATTAGTAACTGAGAATCATGGACAGCATTTCACAGTTCCTTCCCGCACTACAAATACAACTCTACATACCAAGACGCTGTGGTTAAGAACAACATGTAAAAGAAGGACTTATAGTCTTTCGTATGATTGAAGGTCAACAGTACAGTAGGCAAGGCCTCTTGGCACGTTCGCTTCTATGCCGTACCTGTCGACAGAACAGTGGAGCTGGACACCTACAGAAGCAGTTCAGCACTGGCAGCTCCACCCTGAAGGTTACTCCATCGTGACGCCATGTGTTGATTAATTTGACCACATCTAAAATGGCAGCATGCCCCTGCAGATTGGGACCAACACTCCCCCAGTGGAGTGGAAGCCGCAGATCTGACGACGTGCATACTGCACGGTGTGGTCGCGCGGCGCAGGGCACAAGCAAAGAGGAATGTTTCGTTTATGGTTCCCGTGCATCTGTCCCTTGCTGTACACGTGTTGCGTTGACGGGGAAGAGGGGGGAGGATGGGCACGTTCATGCATTTGCTTATGCACAAGCAGTACGGTATTAGGATATCTGCGCAGCGCCCCTCGCTACAACACAACTGTATGGCCATGGCAAGAGTCGAGGCCTTCAGGATGACTGAACAGCACATCTTGTTACCTGATATCGACGGAGGACTCCTGTTGCGAGCCAAGGAAGAAAATTCTGTCGAAAGCTTATCCAAAAATTACATTCAGTACGTATTACACCAGCGTATTACTAATGGAGCACATGACCTGTTGCAGAAGATGCTAAATTTAGGCTTGGGATGCGGCAATATGGAAGGAACGGAGCCACACATCCGCAACGCACATGCGCACATCGCTCGCAGTGATCGCGCTTCAACCCCCCTTCTGGATACCTTCCTCGCCAGAAAGGCAAAAGGCTGGTCCGTAAAGGACTTCTCCGCAGTTCACCGGACGAAGCGGGCACATATGACATTCAGGAGGCAACCGCACGCCAATGACAGATGGATAATAGGCAAATGGGTTGGTTAAGAACATCCTTCAAACTACTTCCTGCGCGCTAGCAGTCATAGCCCTGCGTTCTTCGTCTTTTGGGCCCGTGGTGGCGGCGGCGGTGCGGCGGCACACGTTTTGCAGCGGCGACAGAGTACATAGCATCAAAACAGCACCAGCGGCAAGACAACTCGGAGCTATCTCCATATACATCTTCCTTTCCCACCGCAGGGTCGCTTGATGCCAAACACACACCCACGCCGCACTCATGGAAGCACACAACATGAGATCTCATACATACATACGTACAGCCGCACGGTCTCAGTCTACGACATCGTACGAGGCGCGGATCAGTTATGTGTCTCTGTGGCCGCCCCAACAACGGACAACAACTGTTGAAGGTTTGAAGGATGAATCCGCCGCCTCGCCGCCGCCGCGCACGCAAAGCTAAAGGAGAATTTATTAAGTATGCAATTAAGTAGTCGGTTGTTAAGCGGCAGCCCGTGGCCCCTCTCACGCTCCGCAGCACACCGCAAAAGTAATGTTGTCGCACATCGGTGCGACACACACGAAGCAAATACACAAGCCCGCGCCATCTGGCTTGGCCCGGACGACGTGCAAAGTGGGAATTGCCCCCTGTTGACGTTCTTGCAGTGATAGCGCACGCGGGCGTGTGGAAAGCCACCACCACATGCATCGGCATCGGCACACACACAAGTGAAAACTCATGATCTCGCCATCCAGTGAAACCGCCACCAGACCGCCGCCAACCATCACGGTAATGGCGAAATGATGAAAAGGCTGTCACGCATTGACGGCGGACAGACACCCAAAGGAAGGACGGACAACGTGAATAACAATTTGGGGAAACTGTGTCGACGAATCGGCGACAGCGAGTGACCCCCAGGTCCGTCCATATGCATGTCCATACCGGATTGGTTGGCTGCAACCTGAATACACAGCAGCAGCAGCAGCGGAGGACTTGGGGGGCAAAAGCGACAATAGTGATTGTGGGAGTACTGATGACAATCACGATGGCCATTCCACTGACAACGGCATCGTGCAACCATGACCACTACCTGGCCCCCAAAACACAGCGCACGCCCATGTGGCTCCTACAGGCCCATCTCCCCCCTTAAAGCGGTCAACGGAAAAGCAACAACCCCCTTTTTCCCTAACGACCCAAATTAAAGCCTCACCACCACCATCACAATTCCAAAACACACAGCACAACAGCAATGTCCTCCCGTCCAATCTCTCTTCGACGCCGCATATACATACCGACATCTTGTGCAGCAGTCATACGGGGGAAGGAGGGACACAGTCTGCATGTGATGCAAGCGGATGCGTACCTTTGGGATCGCGACAATCGCACAATGGCCCTATATACATAAATATATACGGCCGGCGAATAGGACAGCATTGCACCGAGTACAGGATTATGAGTGTTTAGGATGAAGGTCCGCAGCCGGCTCTTGACTTTTACCGAGGCATTATCATCATCATCCACGTTGCCACACCATCATATCCGCAAATATCAGAGCTTAATGCAGCTCGGGGGGGGAGGCGGAAGCCCGTACAGCGCCGTAGACCTTGACGACAAAGATGTTGTGGATGAATGCGCCCCCTCCTTAGCTGTGACTTCAGTAGTGGGTACACTTGGTGGTACCCTCTCAGGGGGTGAGGAGAGTGTAACGAAAAATACTCCTGCACGAGAGGCCTTCTTGAGAAAATGCAAATCACACGGCAATCGTCGTCAGGCGAAGAGAACACACCGCCGTGCCAAGTCACCACTACTGGTTCAACTAGGACTAGAGGGGCCCGATGCTGCACACATTCGCACGTAATTAACACGGCGACGACGAAGGGGACGACGCACACCGGCAGTCATGAACAGATAAGATACACTCCATCACATCAGAAGCAATGCACGCACGCGCGTGCGTGCGCCGGCACGCATACCCGTATCTTCCTTTTGCACTACTCACATTTTAATCACGCACACGCATATACACATACATTATGTAGTGCCGCACGCAAAACGACGAAACAAAACGATCATGCTCACAGGCGCATGCGCCGGATCATGAACATGGCCATCAACCTGCAGAAGGACCGAAGGCGAAGAATGTCGTGAGAGAGACAGCAGAGCAGATGGAGGCGGCATCCCGATGGGATGGTCCTCTTGCTGTTGCCACACCTCCACCAAGCCCGACGCCGCCACTCCACCTCACTCCGCCTCCTCTCCGCCGTGCCACATAAGCCTAAATCACACAACACCACAGCACATATGGTGATCATCATGAGAGCGTGATGTGTGCTCTCCCACATCACCAGCACCGAGCCGCCAATCGCAAAGTTAGGAGTCGACGTTTCCTCAAGAGGCGGTTCTTATGCGTGAAGGCCACAGGCCGCGTAACGGCCGCACAAGAACAACAACATGGAAGGCCGAGAGGCGCTCGGCCATGGAGGTGGTGCTCGACCAGGTGCCGTCAGGTGTGCGTGCCTCGAGGCTTACGCATGCCCAGAGGACCTTCGGCAGCAAGATGGTCAAGATGGAGCACCACAAGGGGCCACCATGTGCATCGACGTGGGCCGCGTCCTGTCGCCTTGCAGTAGACACGAAAGGCTGCATGTTGACAATGAACATTCGGAAAAGGCGACAACTAACACAACTAAAAGAATCGGCAGAATTCGGCGCTGCTCCTCCTCCTCCTGTTGCTAACCTACTGTTGTTGCTGCTGCTGCTCCTCGCCCTCCTGGGCCAGCAGCTGCATGAGCTCACGCTCCTCGGCCTGCTCCTCAACGGACACAGAACGGGCAACGGAGACTCCCAGCAAGCGGCGACCCGTGCGATCACCAGCTCCGTTGACACCAGTACCATTCGCCAGGGCGGGAGCGCCAGGTGGGGGGGGTAAAGGGGTTGGGCTTGGTGGTGGTGGGTTTGGTGGTGGTGGGCTTGGCGGCAGCGGGCTTGGCGGCCGTGGGGATG